CGGGTTCAGCTCTCCTGTCAGCCAGTGGTCTGTCCTCTTGATGATCCCCTCCAACAACTTCATAGGCAGGTAGAACCAATTAGCAGTGATTACATATCAACTTAGGTTTTGTCTTTTGTTTTTTTTTTAAATGTTTGAGGGTGAAAAAAATTAGAGGACAAAGCAGCTGAGTTTTTAAGCAGGTTATCTGGCACCTTCATATATCAAAGCTGAGTCTCTCAGCTGGGGTTGCAGAAGCAACTCTGTCTTCTGAGACCAATAATTGGCCTTATTCCTAACTCTCTAGTGAACCTACTGAATAACTGTCTTCCCAGAACCTTGACCTACCTTTCTTCATCAGCACAATTCATACTATTATCAGGTTCAGTTTATTTATTTTTTTAAAGATTCACTTCTTTATTTTAGAGAGAGAGAAAGAGAGAGAGAGAACGAGTGGGGGAGGGGCAGAGGGTGAAAGAAGCTGACTCTCCGCTGAGCAGGGAGCCCGATGGGGGGCTAGACCCCAGTTCCTCTCTGCAGTTTCTAGAACTACGAAGCCATTCCCAAACAATTGCACTTAGTGAGGTGCTCCGTGCCCAGCCCCAGCCGGTGAGCCTTTCCTGGGGTTGAGCACCGGCAGTGGGGTGCGAGAGCGAGAACCAAACAGCCGGAGGGACTGGCCGGCGGGCTGCGGGCCTGCGGGCAGGGGTCGCGGGCAGGGGTCGCGGGCAGGGGTCACGCAGGAGCCCCGCGCAGCCTCACTTCGCTGCCCGGGCCATGGGCCGGCTGAACCGCGAGCCAGGACCCCTGGCCAACCCGAAATGTAGCAGGAACAGCGGGGGAAGTCCGGAGGTGGCTCCATCCTCCCTGTCCCCGCAGCCTGGGCTCTGTGACATCTTTGACTCCTGTCCCGCCGCAGCAGCGCCTGGTGGAGCCTGGCCGAGGTCGCGGGCAAGGTCGGAGAGGTAGGGAACTGAGTGGGGCGCAGGGCGCCGGCTGGTGCGGAAATAGGGGGCTTACTGTCGGGCGACAGGAGTGTCCCGGAGCATCTTTATGTCCGGCTGGGTGTTGTGATTGGTGCTGACCCAGGCGTCGCTCCTGCCTTTGCAGTGGTCACTTTGCCCCCGGTGGTTTTAGTTTTCCCGTGCGTCCTGGCTGTGATTGTTCCTCCTCACGGTCCTGTGGTTTTTCCGCTGATCGCCTACTCCTTAAAATCTCTTTAATAATCTGTGAGAAACTTCTACTAGATCCTGAAGGCATCCTCGTGGCAAGGAAATTCTACTTAGCAAAAAGGATAATCAGACACCGATTCTGTTACAATCCCTTTGGCTACAGTAAATTAAATCTCTATTGAGGGAAGACCCTCCCGCCCCTTTAATCTAGCCAAAGAAAACAGTGCTCAAAACAGCAACAGTGTTCGTTAGTCATTCCTACTTACTGTTCAGTGGTTATACAGACAGGAATATTAAAGGAAAGGCACTTTGTTCTTATTTTCCAAATACCCTTATGTTGTTTCACAAAAACTATATCTGTCGTGTCTGGGAAGTGCAATTATCTACCGCTTTAAAAAGGTTAAGTGCAAGACTTAATAACTGTTTAGGATATGATTTTGTCTTTTTATTAACTTATTGATTTTAGTCTATTTTATTAAGGTCAGTTTGATTTGTAAAAATAGAAGGCTATCCTCACATCCACCACACAATTTAAAAATGAATATTAAACCCAATTTATTAGATCGTATCCTGAAAAACACACCTGAGTATATAAGTGCTTTCCATTTTTCTCCGATAGAAATACCATGTCTTCATAAAGAATGTTTAAAAGTGGACTTATGTAATATAAAATATGCATTTATTGTAAATAGACAAAATATTTTGCAAGAAAATATTTGACCAACATTTAAAAAGAAAAGAGACATCAAAGTTTATTATATTTTTACTATAGACCACATATCTCCTTTTTAGCCATCACATAAATAGCAATGGCAACTCTCTAAGACAAATATTATCACTTACCAGGCTCTAAACTCCTATGAAAGGAAATACCCTTTTGTTTAATTGAGTAGAGATACAAGGGGAAGTGAGAGGAAATGAATGTTTATTATCTTTTCTATTTAGCAAGCATCATAGGGGCATTAAAATATTCAATTAAATAATCCTTATTAAACCGGAAGATAACTTCAGCTAGAGTCATTTACAACTCACTAGCCCCAGAAATAGAGATTTATCTTTGAGATGTGCTATTAGAAAACACCTTAGTTTCATAGTATATGCAAGCAATAATGGAGTCAATGACTTTTTATATTGTGATAGTTGCTTTACTAGAATATTATCATAGAATTATAACTGATACTTCATTTTCATATCAAAATAAAATAATAAAGATAATAGAGTCAATTTTCATTGAAATCTCAACTCAGACCATTATGGAAACATTTGTATGGGGAATAAGCTATATTACATCTGTTCTCCTGCAGGAGAAGTTGTATAGAGGAATTAACTATAAGTCAAAAGAGGAGGAGTTAGTTAAAATAGTTGACATATTTCTAATTGTAAGACATATTCTGAAGACATACAGCAGGCACTGAGGAAAATTGTATATTTTCAGTTAAGATTTTATTTGTTTTTGTTTGTTCACCTGTTAGGGGATAATAGTGTCCTTTATTGTATATTTCTCATGGTTTTTTGAACAGATAACCCAACAATAATATATGACATTATTAAGTATTTGCAATCATCACAATCTCTTAGTTTACACACCAATACTATTTTAGAATTTATTCAAACATGGACAGAACTAATACAGACTTGAAAGCAATCTTCATCTGTTTTTCTCCTCTCTTGTACGTACCTACCACAATGAAGATGCAGTTAAAACATCCCAGATCTGATGCTTTACATTGGAAAGTGAGTGGAATTAGCACAAAGATATTAAGTGGCAAACTGGTTGTTTTGCTCATGTTTAAAAAAAAAAAAAAGGATTCTAGGTTATTTTGTACTATCAACAACAAAAACATTTTCTTTCTTGTCTAATCTTTCATGTTTACACTCGGATGCCATTTGTAATAGAATGTAAATTTAAGGAGCTATTTTTGTTCTATTCCATACTGGGGTTTTTTTTGTATAAGTTTCTCCTGTGTCAGAGGGCACAGATGGGTCCTTTTTAGATAATGTCCTAACAGTGTAACTATCTACGTGAAAATGTAGTCTTCCAAAAATGTAGATATTTTTGATAACTAGAGTTGTACTGTATTATATGATGAAAAGTGGAGTGTATTTAATGCTGCAAAGGAAGTTTACTTTTAGCATTCATTTATTTATATCATTTTACATAGTGTTAGAGTTTCCAAAAACTTGGCCATTGAAGCAGGCTTTTGAACCTTTTAAATTTACATTATATTTCACAAAGCTTTTGATTCTCAAACTTATCTGAAGAATCCTGACTGGTCTTACCAGAACAAAGTGGCCATGGTTTTCATTTTAAACTTACACGTTCTTGTAGGTAACAGTATGTTTGATACACTTTTTCTTCTTTATGGTTCTTCATTGTATTCTGTGTTCTGTGCATTTAGAGTTTGTATTTATGTCTTCTGCCATCTCAGTGAACTGAATCAACAAAATGCATTTATTAATTCAACTTGTATATTGAGCACCTGTTGTGTGTTAGTTCCAGAGGAAAATATATATGAATTGGAAAAAGAAAAGCAATGAAAATTCTCCAAGTGCTCTGTTTTCAGGAAAATGTGTATCTAAATGAGGAAAGTAAAAATGATACATGTGACTATTGAAAAATTTGATATGGACAGTTTAGGGCTTTGAATTTGTGTTCCTGTTGTTGCTGCTATTTTAATGTTAGTGTTATTCATGACAGAGCCTACTTACAGATTTAAATGGAAAGGAGCTGGAAAGAACTTGTAACAATTTTAGAGATAAGAAAACATCTCAAATTCATATAGTGTGTTGATGTTGGAGAAGGGTTAGAATCATATGAACCCAATAGTCTCAGTAAATGGTTGTTGACTGATTAAATGATTAAAATTGTTAATTTATCAAATCTATTAAGTATCCAATCCAATTTGAGTGAAACAGATGAACATGTGGATTTTTTGCAGTCTAGGTTAGCCAGTCTACCTTTAGATAAAAAGAATGCTTATCACCATCTTAACAAAACTCCACCACTATCCTTGATCTTCACCTTTAGTAAACTTTGTTTCTACTTAGCTGCCTTACTCTCTAGGTTGTGTGGATTTCTTATAATGGGAATTTCTTTAAACGTTGTTGGTTTGTGGGCTTAGTGAAAAGGAAAAGCATCAAGTTTCTTTATGCTGTGTAGTTTATGGACTATAATTGTAATGAAAATAAATCAAAAGTAAGAATATGGTTATTTGTGACTTGGTTAATACAAGAATCTACTTCCTAACGTTGCTATGAGTATAAAGTAGATTTACCAAAAACAATTAGGCTCATGCTACATATAACTGAGGTGTTAATAAATCAATAAGAGGTGGGACTTTACTTTAGTATAACGACTCAGGGGCTGATGCCTTGATAAGAATAGCTTCCTGGTTCTGATTGTGGAGATATACCTTGGTGTTAAAAGGTGAAAGAGGGACACTAAAGTATCCTCCAAACTGTGAAGGCACTTGGAGACTGAAAAATGAAGAAAACCACTCCATACTATTTACACAGAGTTTTATTCAGGGTAACTTACTGACAGTGGTGGTGGGGACGATCCAGGTGCTACACAGCTATTCTTGGCTCCTGGAAACCTTAATCCACAGGTTTTATAGAACCAGGGGCATTGCTGTGAAGTCTGAGGGCAGTTACCTAATGCGGAACCTTCTGTGCACCAGTCATCTCTACTAGTTATCTGAAATGTGAAGCCTCTGTGCACCACTTTAGGGAAGATCAGAACAAGCCTTCCCGAATTCTGGTCAGGGCATAGGTTAACCTCCAAGGTCCTGGGAAACATAGCCCCAAGGGAGGCCATGGTGTGGGCATGAACAAGGTAGAAGGCCAAAGATGGAGTCAGTATTGTCAGCACTCCCACAACTTGGGCCTTGTGAGAAGGCTGATCCTCAAGAAGTAAGTAGAGATGATGGTAACGAATATCACACTTATTTGGATTCTGAATACAGACCCAACACAAAATGCTAGATTTCCCTTTGAACTAATAACTTAAGAGGAATGCCCTAGAACAGTCAAGACATGGTCTAGAAGGGACTGATTATGCTGTGCCTGCCAAAAAATCAAGTTGAGAAGAGTCTGGCCCACAAGAATGTTCTGCCTTCAGTGAAAAGAGGAGGAGTTGATACCACAAGCTACTTCTTTCCTCATCACACCCAAAATATGTGTATATATACATTATATCTTTTTTGTTTCCTTCTTTGGAGCTTGGTGTTATGACTGCTCTTGATGTGTTTTTTTTTCTATATAAAGTAGCTTATATCAAATAATAAAATTAGTTGCTTGAAGGTATCAGAGTATACTAAAGCAGCTAGGACACAAGGCACTAAGATCTCAAAGAGAAGGAAAATGTGTTGAAAGGAGCTCTGTGGGGCACCTGGGTGGCTCAGTTGGTTGAGTGTCTGACTCTTGATCTCAGCTCAGTTCTTGATCCCAGGGTTGTGAGTTCAAGCCCTCCATTGTGCTTCATGCTGGGGGTAGAGCCTACTTAGAAAAAAGTATACTAACTGATGTTGCCATGAATATGAAGAAGGGCCACTCTCATGCATTGCTGGTTGAAATACAAATTATTTATTGCTTTCTGAGGAATTCATTAACAAAATTAGACAAATTTTTAAATATACCCTTGAGTAAGCATTTTCTCATCTAAATATAAATTCCATAGTTATAAAAAGTCCATATTAAGGGTATTTGGAAGAGATCTTTATGACAGATGTAGGTTTGAAATAGATTAATTTTAGTTTGGTCCAGTTCAATTCAACAATGTTTTTGTTATCAGTATTAAACACTAAGTTAGGCGCTGGGTTCTCAAAGATGAATAATAAGCAAAACTTGAAACAGATAAAATTTCAATACCAGTAGATAAAAGCAAATGTACTGGAGATGAGAACAGAGTTTGTTTTCCTGGTGTCTAAGTGTGAAGCAAGAAGTATGAGGAGCTGAGGCTGAGGAATTACACACAGCACAGATCATGGACAAATGTATACATTATAAATAAGCTAAGTCTTGGTCATGTTGGAGGCAGATTCTGATTATATGAAACTGAAGCCCAGGCAAAAGGTCAGGACTAGAGAAACACATTTGTAATTCAGTGGGCAGAAAAATAGATAAAGCATCAGAGTTGATGGATAATGCAAAAATATTTACAAACATGGACAAAGTAAGAACAATAGGTCAAGGAAAGAAGTTAACAACATCATTGAATAAGAATTTGCATAGGAAGAAATCTTTCATGAAATAGATAAAGAAAAGAACAGGAGATGCCAAGGTCATTTACAGACTTTCTTGCCGTGTTCTGTCTAACAGAATCTGGTAAAAAATTTTGATGTAAACATAAGCTTCCTGGGGCATCTGGCTGGCTCACTCAGTAGAGCATGTGACTCCTGATCTCTCGGTCATGAGTTCAAGCCCCACATTGGGTGTAGAGATTACTTAAGAATAAAATCTTAACACAAAACATAAGGTTCCTTTCCAGAAAGTCTTTATGTAAATTCCAGCATACAGAATAAATCATACATTGTATTTTTTATTTATTTGATAATTTCCAAAGATTAATATAAAATAATGTACTATAGTGGAACATTCAATTAATATTAACTAATAGCATTTAATATAACAACATAGTAAATATGAACTAAAAGTCATTAATAAGACATATAATCAGCATATATATTAGTGCCTTTCAGCAGGGTTGGGAATTTTCTTTGGTAGTTAAAAGGGAAGAAAGAGGTCTATTCAAAGGCTTCATTGTATTCAAAGTCTATCATTAAAGCCCTGTTCAACATGACATTATTTATAATAAGTACCATGTTTCCCCAACATTTTTTTATATTCTGTAGAGTATTATATTCATTTGCTTGCACGTTTTGATCTGTAGTTTCTTCTTGTTCTACATTAAGCAAGTGTCAAATAGTAAGGGTGTCACTGAGATATTCAGTGTGTCACTTGTTACCTGCTAGACAGTTTCTCCCATATGACTTTGGTGGACTTGCATGTTCAGTGTTACCTATGTGGTGAACTACAGTCTCATCCCCTCCCTTTTTAGAAAGATCCACATAAACCTATGGTGGGTGTTTGTTTTATTGCAAAAGAATACATGAGTGTACATTTCTGATCTACGTGATAAATTTGGGAGGTCATAGAACCATATGCCAGACTTACTCAAGTCATGAAGATTTCTGATTCTCCATTCCCTCATCTATACCCTCTTGAGTCCAGATTACTAACTGGCAGTAACCTCAACCAGTTCTTTCTTTGGCCAGAACATGGTTGTTTTGTCTAATTTTTAAAATTAATTGCAACTTAAAAATTAAAATATACTATAAAAAAACAAAAAGTAAAAAAATATTTTTAGTTTTTCTTGAAAAAACAAACCAACTGACAAAATAGGACCACATTCCCTCAGTGCAACAGTCAGTTGGGATGGGTTGATCCCTTTAAATTGTCAGTGCACTTTTGACTCCCAAATCCTACCACTTTCAGTTGCTTGCCCTGAACAGAAGTCACCCATTTCCATCTCGGGCACTGCCTGTATGGACATCTGATTCATCCTGGCCTCATGTCATGTTTTCCAAACTGCTCTCTGCATAGATGGTGGGTAGGACTCCAGAATTCCCACACCATCTTCAACCAAAGCCATTGTCACATGCAATTAACTTTGAATAAATCACTCTTCACCTTAAATAAGCTTAAAAACTATTTCCCCAAATACTTGAAATGTTCTATTTCTTACTTCTCAAATTCTCCTATTTATTTAAGGTTATTTCCACTTTTTTAAAAAATTATTACTTCATAATACATTTACAAAGTAATTATAATTACATAACACAAACTCATGAGTATAGTCATTCTCCATTCTTTTGAAGACTTTCCCTTATGATTTTGGTGTATTTAACAATCCAACACACATTTTTAGGTTATTTTAGAGGTTTGTTTGTTTGTTTGTTTGTTTTGTAAGTACACTCCATGCCCATTGTGGAGCCCAACATAGGGCTTGAGCTCATGACCCTGAGATCAAGACCTGAGCTGAGATCAAAAGTTGGATGCTTAACCAACTGAGCCACCCATGCGCCCCTAGAGGACTGACTTTTTAAAATGTTGCTTTGTGTCCATAAAAAAGGGCATCCTTTTATATTTACTGAAATTATCCTTCATATATTCATGTACACTCTGTAATTAAACTCTCTAGAATTAGATCATCATCCTTATTTAATTTATTTGTCCACCACTTACTTGAACCATAATTGAAATTTTACATGACCAGGTAGTCTGTAAAAAAAAAAAATCTATATTCTGAAGTGGTATCATGCTCAGAAAGTGTGGTCTGGAAGCAACTATACTGGGACTTAAAAACAAAATTACAGATTCTTGAAAATATATTCAATTGTTGAATATTTTCTAGGCCTAATAGGGCCTAGAGACAATTAGCTTGCAAAGATCACATAGATAAATTTAGATTTTCTCTTTAAGTATTTGAAGGGGACAATTTAACTGAGAAGACAAAGCAGTCTTTTTTTTTTTTTTTTAAGATTTTATTTATCTGAGAGAGAGAGAGAGAAAGAGAGAGAGACAGCATGAGCAGGGGGAAAGGGAGAGGGAGAAGCAGAGCAGGGAGCCCGATGTGGGGCTTGATCCCAGGACCCTGGGATCATGACCTGAGCTGAAGGCAGACGCTTAACCAACTGAGCCACCCACGTGCTCTGACAAAGCAGTCTTTGTAGGTAGTTGCTTTATTTGAAGTCAGACCTCTCAACAGGTATCAGACAGGGTGCTCTGAGCTCTGGAGCCCAGGTCTGGGCTTTATTCTGAATTTTCCTCTTGAACTTGCTGTGTAATTTTGTCCACTGAGGATCTTGACCTTCCATTCCACATCAGTAAAATTCATAAGTTTGCTAGAACCAATTTAATTAGGCATGTTTGAGTTGTGTCTGTGATGCCTCAGGCACTGAGTCAACCCTGGGGAAAACATCACATCTCAGAAACGGTTTTCCCTTCAAGGACCGCCCCGCCATGTGGTGGGTTAGACAGTCCAGGAGAAGGGGATTTCTCATGCCATGGGTGAAGAGCTTCGAGAATGTTGAGGATGAGTGCCATGGGAAGAGTTGTTGGTGGGTCAAGAAAACGCTGGAGAAAAAGATGTCTCCGCTGAGACTTAAACTCAGGGAGTAGAAAGTCAGGGGGAAGGTGAGGAACAGAAACACTGCAGGCCAGTGATCCAGTGCTGCAAGGAGGGACTTGCTCAGTCCATGTAATTCCAAGCTGCTTATTATGGCTGGAGAGCTGTATTGTAGGAGACCCCAGAGAAACAGGTGGGAGTGCAGCTCCTCACCCCCACCCCCCCCACCCCCGGCCCACCAAGAGCCCTGCAGCCTCTCTTATGGACAGAGATGGAGGGGAGCCATTGCAGGGGTGTTAGGAGGTGGGCGGGGGCACAAATGAAGACCGACAGGTGAGTTCACTGTACTCATCAGCCCGAGGAGGGGTGATGGTGAGCTGTGCTAATGTATTGTCAGTAGGAAGGTGAGAAATGAATGGAATTCAGTGATATGAAAGAAAAAGGCAAGTTTTTAAATGCAGTGGCTGCAGGGGTGAAATAGAGGCAAAGATGTCATTTCCTCAGGCAGAAAAGAGTGTGAAGAAAGAGCTTTCCTGTAGCAGTGCTTACTTCCGGTGCCCTGGCTTCAACTTCTTGAGTGTCTGGGGACGTTAGAGGGAGACTGGTGGCCACTCTCTTCCGTTTAACGTGTTTCAACATTTCGGCTATTTGGAGCGGTGCTGGCGGCTGCAGGGGCAGAGGCACTGCTGGCTTCCCCATCCCCACCTACTGAACACGGCTTTGTAGGGAAGGTGATGGGTCCTTCAAGTCAGTATATCCGAGGCAGCCTCGATTACTCACGTGTCTGACACTGGCAGCGA